TGTGAGCCTTCGTCTTGTGCAGGAATCACTGATGGTGGTAATTGCACTGAGGTCCAGGTCTCAGAGGGCTCTCCGGCAGCACCAGGCTCTCTAAGACCCAATCTGGGCAGCGGTCTCAGGTCTTGTAGAAATGAATCTGAGATCAGAGTGGGAACCCTGGCCAGAGGCCACTGTTCTGTTCCGCTTCCGACCCATCAGCACCTAGGAAGCTCTCCAGAACAGCCACTGCTTCTTGGTGAGGGGATGGAGGGACCCAAGTTGAGTCCTCTTTCCCACTTCCATTCCAGTCTGGGGGAGACAGTGGTGCTAAAAGCCAGCAGCCAGTGACAGCTCACCCAAGCACCTCCTGTAGTGCAGCTGATCACCCAAGTCGGGAACACCTCCTCAGGAAAGGACAGCTACAGCACAGTGAGGACCCTGTCCTGGAAGGTCAGCTCATCACTTGGAAGCGTCCTCAAGTGCGCCCACCTGGGAAGCAGAGAGGCTGAGCTCCCGGGGCACAGTGCCAGACCACCTGGGTGAGAAGGTTCAGGTAGCCAAATGGCAGGGTGAGCACTGAGCCAGCTGTGCCTTGGCTCCAGAGAGCAGGGGACATGGAGGTCTGGAGGGGAAAAGAAGCTGGAGAGAGCTAACGTTTCAGACGCAAAACATGGAAATCTAGCATCTTGTATCTGGAAGAACTAGGGTGAGACTTTATCACGCAAGGAATCACTCCCATATTTTTTTTTTTTTTTGAGGGAGGGTCTCCCTTTGTAGTTGAGGCTGGCCCTGAACTCACTATGTAGCCCAGGCCGGCCTCAAACTCGTGGTGATCCTCTTGCCTCAGCCTCCCGAGTGCTGAGATTACAGGTGTGCACCACCATACCCGGCCTCACTCCCATAATTTTTTTTTTGGTACTAGGGATTGAACTCAGGACCTTGTCTTGTGAGGCAGGCGGCAGCACCACTGAATTAAATCCCAGGCCCCACTCCCATAATTTTTAAAGCTAAATTAACCATTTCCTTTTTTAGGTTAGTATAGGCTAAATCTTTTTAAATTGCATGGGGTGGAATTCACAGGGATTTTTCTCTACTCTGAGTCTTATCTCCCTTCCCTGACCTCAAAAGAGGCCATAAAATAGCAATGTACAAGTAACAGGAACTGTAAGACACCCAGGAATAAACCTAACAAGAGACGGGTGAGAATCTCTAAATTAAAACCAACTAAAAGCAAAGGACAGAAGAGACCAGTGTGAGGACCCAGTTGGGGTCCACCAGCAAGTGCTGGTTTCTTGGGAGCTCACCGCCTGGGATAAGGACAGTGGCAGTGATGAAAACCACATGTCACACAAAGACAACATGTAAAGCACATGCCAAGGAGGAGAGAGGAGGGAAGCAGCTGATTTTGAGGCAGAGCCAGGCTCTGCTGGACATTCCAGGAGGCAGGGACAGCACAAGGAGTCACATGGAGGAGTATGAGAGGATGGGATGCTCAGAGAAAGGCAAGGACCTGGGAGTCATGGGACACCAGGCCACACCAGGCACTGAGGAACTGGGTGAAGACCTCCCTATGGAATGATGGAGCCATCAGCACTGTCCAGGCAGACACAGTAGCAGGAGGAAAAGAGGATCATGGAGTGAACATCTGTGTCCCCCAAAGCCAAATGTTGAAATTTCACCCACAGGGTGGCATTAGGACGAGTCTAACAAATGGGACCAGTGACCTCGCAGAGGGCTCTGAGAGCTTCTTCTCCCCTCCAGCACGTGAAGCACAGCAAGAAGCAAGGAGCGGCCCTTGCCCAACATGGAACCAGCCAGTACCTGGATCTTAGGCTTCCATCCTCTGGAACTGAGCCATAAATCTCTGTTGCTTTAGAATACCCCAGTGTGTGACATTTTTGTTATAGCAGCAAGACTGGCCTGAGCCATACAGCCATGGAGCAGCCCTGATCCCTCAGAGCAAAGTCCACAAGAGATGCCCAGTGAACGAGACAAGTTTACCTCAAAGGTAAACACACTTAAGGTAATCCAGTTACACGGGAGACCTGCCTGGTCCCCACAGGGTGCCTCGCTGGTGTACATTGAGAATTAGACTGAAAGTAAAGTGGAAACTTCACCAGGTGAAGGTAGAGAGTCCCACAGCAGCTGTGCTGGGGCCCGAGGGAGAAGTGGGCCCTCAGGGTCGCTCAGCAGTGTTATACCAAATAGCTGGGTCTTTTTAAATGCATGAGTTCACAGGCATTATGAGGCTTTGGAGAGGCCTATTATTCTTCCCTTGGCACTGAGGCTCACTGAGGTCACCCAGCAGGGAGTCAGCAGGGAGAGCCCTAGCCCCTGCAGAATGAAAAAGGCTCTGAGGTAAGGCATTCAGAAAAGATTGCACCTAGGTTGGGAGGCCAGTCTCAGACTTCAGATCTACTTGGGGACATCCTGTCCCAAAGAGCCTCTCCCAGCTCAGGACATTTACACATGGGGCTCTTAGGGACAGACATGCTGGTGTGGCAGGAAGTAACCTGGCTCCCAAACCAGGAGGTGGTCCTCAGCCTGCAGAACAGTCCCATGGCCTCCACACCCAACTTCACCATATACCCACCACTCACTGAGTTCTCCAGCCCTAGCATGGGTCACTAGCTGGGACTGCAGACAGAAAAAGGCTGTGGTCAACCTTAGAACTCAGAGAAACTGTGACAAGACCAGACTCATGGGCAGGGCCCACACAGATGTGGTCACTGCACTAAGGAACAGCCTGCTTCTTTCTATTCTACCCGCCCAGCTTGGCCTCAGTGCTAGCGAGGGTGCTGCAAGGCCACTTGGGTGGGACACAGCTCTGGCCTCTGAGGACAAGCTGGATCTCTGAGAGATTCTTGCATGTGTGAGGTATCTAGGGCTGGTCCTTCTCTGCACAGGACAGTGGGGCCTGGCCTGCCTGCTTTAGAGATACAACAGAGAAGGGCAGTTGGTACACAGGGCATGGTCTGGCCAGGCTACAACCACGGTTTTTCCTTGGCAGAGCCACCACTGGGCTCCAGGAGCAGCCAGGAGGGAAAACAGGAGTGAAGGAAAATGACTGCTTAATTACACCAAGTTGTGAGGGGTGTAATGCCTCTTACATCAGAAACTAAGTCTCCAATTCTCACTCCCTGAAGAACATAAAGTATTCGAGGGTTTTTTATAGTTGTAATCAAAAAACCCATTTCTCCAGCCACTGCTGGCCATATCTAATCAGGGTTAGGTGTGCTAACGACACAAGTATGGCCCTGGACATTTCCCCTTGTTACATTAATTGCATTTAAAGAAAAAAGCATTAACCTTTCTTATGCTTACTAATTAGTGTGATTTGCTAATTAATAAGAAAGTCAAATTGCCTTTGTCTTGTCTTGTGCAATTAGCTAAAGACATTTAAAGTTCTCTTTCTCCTAGTGGACTCACTGCAACAGAAGACAGCAGGCAGGTGCCAGAACTGTGTCCCCAGCTGTCGTGATGCCTTGCTCATGTGAAGATTACCCCTGAGCCCCACTTCCCATGGCTAGGTGTCCCTTGCCCTGACAGCCCCCCTCCATGGCATCCCTGACATAGGGAGAGAGGGAAAAGTGAAATAAAGAATGTGAAATAAGGGGAAGACAGAGTAGGGTCAGGCAGAGTTTTCAACTCTGCCTGAGGGTTGGGTGAAGTGGCACATGCCTATAATCCCAGCACTGTGGGAGGCTGAAGCAGGAGGATCACAAGTTGAAGCTTAGCTTAGAGACTTAGCAAGACTGTCTCAAAATAAAAAATTTTTTTAAAGGGCTGGGGATGTAGCTCAGTGTGAAGGTCCTGGGTTCTAAAAACAAGGCAGAGAGAGCAGCACAGACCATCCTAAAATAAGCCTGCAGAACCTCACCCGAGATGCCAGCGTCCTGTCTGCAGCAGAAACACCTCGTCCCAGGGCCAACCAAGAGTCAGCTCAGGGGTAAGGGCCCAAACACCCTGGCCATATCCTTAGGGTCAGAGAACAGTAACTTTTATCAAAAGCCTCCACTGGGTACCCCAAGACCCTTGGCAAGCTGGGGGAAGGCTTCTACCTGAAAGTCAGGGTATAAATCCAAGAACAGGGGTTCTCAACCTAGATCATCACCCTCCCTAGGACCCCCAACATCCCAAGTCAATGGCTGCAGCAGTCCAGGTTCTTCACAGTTCAGGGATTTCACACAGGAACAGAAAGTGGAGGGCAGAGATGAGGAGAGGCAGGAGAGCAGGAGCTGAGTCCCACTGAGCATATCCCACAGCACCCAAGGGCCAAGGCCTCCCATATCTCCGGGGAGGGGCCCAGGGCCAGTGGTCTCTCTGAAGCCCCATGGGAGCCAGGATCAAGGCGTTTGAGTTTCTGGAGAAAAGTGGGGGATCTAAATTCAAGGACAGCCCTAGGCAACCAGCCAGCTGCTCAGCCATAGCACTATGGGCCTGGCATGTTCTCAGCACAATTCATTTCTAGTTCTTCTTGGCCTTGTGCACATGATGAAAACAAGGCCCTCAGGCACGCTTCAATTCAGGTCAACACCAAAGAGGCCATGCATGGGGACACTCTGAACATCAGGGTCTCCCTAGGCTGTGCAAATGGATGTGCCAGTCCTCAAGGACCCCCTCCCCCTGACCCATGGCTTCCCCAAAGTCAACACTGAATAGGCCCTTTCTGGAGGAATCTGCAGGGCCCAGTTAATGAGGACAGAGCACAGAGAGGCCGGGGACTAAAGGAGAGCAGGGCTGCCCACAGGACAAGGAACGTGGTGCCAAGAGCGGGGGGGGGGCCTCCGTGCTCTAGCAAGGCCTCACACCTGTGGCACCACATGCATGAGCTGTGGCCCCACTGGGAAAAGCAGGGGATCTCAGGTCAACCACACAGAAGAGGCCATAGGCTCATGCCTGCAGGATCCACCCTGAGAGGGACCAGACTGGAGCTGCTGCTGAGACCCAGGATTCACAGTGGCCTGAACTAGCTGCCCTCACTCATGTGGGAGACCTGTGGGCACCACCGCTGTACTCACCATGTCAGCTCTCTGCTTCTGGCATCCCAGCTCCTCCAAGGCCTGTGACAGCTGAGCCTGCAAGATAGGACCGAGAGGGTCAGGGCTGCTGCTCAGACTCATGCCTGTCCCTACCCCAGCACCTCCACTGCAGCTGCCTCTCCTTGCTTAGTGGCAGGCAAGAGGCCAGGTGGGCCAGGGCCAAACTGCCACCCTAGGCAGGCAAAAGGTCCCCTCGCTTGGAGAAGCAGGCACCCGGGAAACATACAAACCCAAAGTCCATCCCAAACCTGCCATTTAGTCACAGAAAGAGTCAGGAGGGTACTGGGGATGGGATCCTCTGCACCCAGGCAGCAGGTGGGTACTGTGGAAGAGTTGCATTGAGTCCCAGAAAATCTCTGAGGCTCCTTGACACAGCCACCATGGGGTAGACCTGGAAAAGGTAGTGAGGCCTGGCCTGTGTCCTCTGGGCTCAGACACAGAAGTGAGGGAGGGCCTGGCCATCCAGCCAACGGTGGCCTCCTCCTGACCAAGAGCCCCTGTGAGTACCATGTTGGACCACAGCCTTGGGGGAAGGGCTCAATCAGCCATGCTATGTGCTGGGACCACATCCTTGTAACTGTCTGGCCTCTGCTGGAACAGCCTAGTGACAAGGAGTTCACTTCTTGGGAGAGCCCAGCAGGAAGCCCATGGAAGAGGAACAGAACAGGCTCCAGAGCAGGAGCATGGCCCCAGGTCAGGGTGCAATGACAAACCCCAGTATAGCCCGCTCAAATTCCTTGAGGCCCACACGTGTGGTCAGCCTCTAGAGACACGTGTCATCAGGCCAAGATGAACTTACACCACAAGGGCAGATTGTAGTGCTCACAGGCCCTGCTGGGGTCTCTTCTCCTGGCCAGGGAATGATGTGTGGATAGAGGTGGGGATGGCCACCAAGGGAACATCCCTGCCCTGAGCCAGCCATCGTGGGCTCTGTCTGTAAATGCACAGATACTCGGAAGAGGAGGATGTGACTCTCACAGACCCAGGGACAGCCCTGCCCACAGTAGCAGTCTTCTGTGAGCAGGTCCGTGACAGGTGAGATGACATATTTCTGTCTCTTCCCTCTGTCTCCCACACAGCTGGGCTTGGGGAGGCAGGGACAGCTGGATCTCCTCCTCTGGGGCCCTCTGCCTGGGTCAGAGGAGCCTGTGGGCATAGAAGGCAATCCTCAGAACCCACTACAAGAGAAGAGCTCTGGAGCCAAGTTGCCTGCCTGCCCGCGGACACATAAATAATCCCACTCTGCCCAGGCAGGATGCTGCCCCCCACTGTTTCACTCACAAGAGGAACTCAGCAAGTACACAAACCCCCACCACCTGATCAGTCTCTGGAACACACTGGACACCTACAAAGCAATAAGAAAAAAACAAACACAACAGAAAAGCAGGCAAAGATGCAAACAGACTTCTCCCAGAAAAGGAAACGCACACGGCCAGCAACACACAGACAGGTAATTAACATGGTTAGTAATTAGGAAAATGCAAATCAGGACCAACAACGAAATATCACTTTGCAACCATTTGGCTGGCAAACATGAAGAACTCTGGCAGCACTGGGATCTGGAAAGGAAGTAAATCAATTGAATCTTGTCCATGCAGACAGTGAGAATGCAAAATGACTTTGCAAAACCATTTAGAATTTCCTTAAAGTTTAATGACTGCAATACATTTGCATAACCTGTAACTCAGTAATTCCACCCCGAGGTATCTATTCAAAGAAACCATTAAACATGCTCTGGCTGCCCTCTCTCTGCCCATTGGCACTGAGGGACAGTGAGCAGCAGCTACCTGCTCCAACCTTGGCATCCACATCTGAAGACCAGCGGGGCACTCCAGAACTCAGCTGGTGCCTTATCAAACACTGGCATTGGGAAATGCCCCGAGAGGCTCACCCTGTCAGCAGGAACACATTCCTCCAACTTGGCAGAACCACACCTTGGTGAAGGAGCTGACCAGAACCAAACTCCTGCATATGCCCTGTCCTCCCTAGCACTGGGCATCTCATCACATGGTCCAGGCATGCACCTCTGGTGAGGTCTCTCAAGCATACAGCCCAGGGGGACAGCAGAGTAAGACAAGGTGCCTGTGGGAAGGAAGGGCCCTGGGCCATCCCAGCTGCATCTACACCCCAGCTAGGGGCAATGTCAGTCACCACATCCACATCTGGACATCAGATCCCTTCTGAAGCTCTAGGCCTGAGCAACTGGAGCACAGCCATCATTCCAAAGAAACTGCAGGGTCTGTGCCAGGAAGACTCTCATGCACAGGCCTCCCCTCAAGAACAGCCTGAAGTGGTCACTGCCCCTCCCTGGAAGGAACAAACAGGGAAAGGCCCCATCTTCCTAGCAAGTCCCCTTCTGTGGAGGCCACTTCCTTCACAGCACTGGGAGAAAACAGTGATGGCCTGGGCCTCCTTTGAGGACTCACAGGCCAGACCCTAGGTTGGGGCAGGAAGGTCAGCAGGAGGTGGTAGGCAGCACAGGGCTCAGGTGCTACCGGCAGCTCTCTCAATAGACAGCGTCACACTTGTCAGAGCAGCTCCTTGTGGTGGCATCAGTGTTGACTGCATCCCACACCACTGCAGAGACTTCAAGAAGTAGAGCTGACCATTGAGCTACCCACCTGGCTTTCTCCTGCAGATCTCCTGCCAGTCAGAGCCAGACTACTTCATAAGCAGGAGACCTACCAAGGTCTCTTGGCCCCACCAGCTGTTCTCATCTGCCCACGGCTGGCCTCGGCCAATGGCACACACATCTGGGCTAGTGGCTGGCCTGGGTGGTCATGTATCAAATCCATTCTGTTCATGTGCCGCAAGCTCCTGGCTCTGCCTAAAGATACTGCCTCCATGAAGAAAACAAGGAGGGCAGGGGCCCAGATGGTATGCTAGAGCCCACAGAGTGGGTCACAGCTAGGGAGTGGGAAGGTGCAGTCCCTGTTAACCATGGACAGGTGGCCAAGGAAGGTCCCAAGGATAAAGCAACCGGGATTGGTGTCATGCTGAGGGGGCTGCCCCAGGGCTCACATATGTTCAGACATGAGCTGTGGACACATGCAGTATCTGCAACACACAGATGCCGCAGCAAGATCACAGCAGGGCTATTTTTATTCTGAAGTGCGAAGTGGCTGCCTGATGACTGGCACCCCTGTCACACACGGTGATCCCATGATGCAGCAGGGAAACCTGGAGGTGGTCATAGGCTGGAACAGGATGCCACAGAGCCCTACGTGGGGCTGTGATAGCTTCTGCAGGATGTGGGATGGCCTGGGAGGGATGACCAGAGAGCAGAGTACCAGGCCTGCACAGAGCCAGTACCAACACAGAAAGGGACCCTAAGATCACAGTCAATGCGGAAGAGGATAAGACTCAGCCTAGGCCTCTGCCTCCTTTGTCTAGCTTACACAGGTTTGGGGCAACATGAGCCAACAGACCAATCATCTGAGAGTGTCCAGGCCACAGAACCAGGAACTGTTCTAGGCTGAATGCCCTCTGCTTAGCAGTGGCCCCAGGAGATGTGACCAAGGACACAGAGGCACCCTCTAGTGTGGACTCTGGAGCCAGGGTGCATACCTTGAGAGGATGGGTGCAAGGAGGGCAGGAGTGGGCTCTGCTGGGAAGGGTAAGATAGACACAGCCCCACTTGACACTTGGCTCCCTGCTGACAGCTCTGCAGGACACTGGCTCCGGGGTGTGGCCTGGAGCTGTCCCCTACCTTTCCACATGCACGAGGTCAGAGATATTGAGTGAAGGGCCCAGCAATTGTGCTTTTCCAAGCCCCATGAGGGACACCAATACAAGCTCATGTTTGTCCAAAGACGAGACCGCAGGCACTGAATAGGAAGCCGTAAGATCAAAGTTCCAATGTCTCTACTTATTAGCCATGTGGCCTTTAAGTGGTGACCTCTGCAAGTCTGATGACCTGTGTTCTCAGAGCATTGTTTATTCCCTCTACCACACAGGGCTGCTGTGATGACCAAGAACCTATATGGGGAACCTGGCATGAAAAGGCACAGCAGCACTGTATGCTTGTTGAAAGGCGGTATGCAAAATTCCCTCTACCCATGCATGGGACAGGACTGGTGTCTCGTGTGAAGACCTTCTCCTCCTCCTGACAGGGTGGCCACTGCTGGGCTGATACCACGGGTTGTCCACTCAAGCTGAGGACGGGACCAGAAGTCCACACACATGGTCAATCCCAGGGGCTGCCCTTGGCTTGGAGTTCTGGAGTTATTTTCTTCTATTTGCCCCTCCATCCAATTCTCTCGACTATTTCAGGGTTTTCCATTCTGCTTTGTCCAGGCTTGGCAGAGTGCAGCCTCTCCATGTCTTCACATATGACAGCAGTAAAACATGAGATGGGAAAGCCCCTTGGGAGTTGATGCTGGAACAGACAGCACCATTGGAGCCCCACAGAAGTAACAAGAGAGGGAGACAGGAAAAGGGAAGTCTATTTTGCCTAAATTGGAAGTCAGAAATTACTCCAGATTCACTGCAATCTAAAATGGGGATTTTCCATATACCACCATACAGCCAGCAGCACCATAATGTTTTAATTAAATAAATCGGAAACACAGATCAGTCTGACGTGTGGAATCAAGGTGCCACGCATTCGTATTTATAGCTCCATTGACAGAGGATTTATGACATCTGCTACCAACTTCTGTAGCTGCTTTATTAAACAGAATAAATAAAATCCATGCAAAAAGGCACAGGCCTTACCAGAGCCGGGCCACTGGGATTCTCCCAACTCAACAATTCCAGTTTGTTTTACTGAAATGTTTTGCCTATGTCAGAGCTGGCTGAGGAAGCCACAGGGATGGGACACGTGCGCAGAGTGAGGAAGGCAGTATCAGCTCCCTGGTCGTGTGTGCCTGGAGCCTGCACCTGTCCAGCCTGGCCGCAAGGACCCTGCCGGCCCACGGGCACACCCCATGCACGTGAGCTAACCCCAGGTTAGAGGAAACAGGAGTTCAGGAGTGAAGGGTGGGGACAGAGGGACGGGAGAGAGAACACAAAGAATGAAGAGAACGAGTGAGGAC